ATTTGCTGCTCAAGAAACATTTCTTATTATCAGTGTTGAAACCACGATTGTGTCATTTTTGTCAGGATTCTTTGATAAATAAAAAAAATCAAAAGAACAGCATTTATTTGAAATGGAAATGTCTTGTAACATTATAAATGGCATCGCTGTTTCTTTTGATCAGTTGAATGTGTCCTTGCTGAATAGAAGTTAATGTCTTTAAAAAAATAAATCTCACCTACCTTAATCTTTTGAATGGTATTTATAGTTTGACCTCATGAGGTTGTTATGCACCTGTTTTCACTGACCATTATTGAAGAAGAAAAACTAAAATCTTCTTTTATTCATTCATATTTTATTCATGGAAAGTGCCATTTACATGGCTTATTAAAGGACCCAAATAAAGTGCTTGATTTGAATCAGGTGACAGAAATCCACAGTCTTGTGGCCTGATTAAATGTGACCACGTTCAGTGCAAAATCAGCTCTTTTTTCCCCCCCACTAACAAGGATGGAATAATACTGCACGAAGACAGACATTTCTGGCATGTTGTTCATTAGGTGAGACAGTGTTGTGACACTCATAGCCCTCTGATGGCCTCGCTTGTTCTACATGCCAGTCTGAGCTCTAAATGCTGAAACCGCTGCAGGACACAACACCGTCTCTGACTTGACAGCTGTGACAAGGGGTTGGCCTTATCAAATCAAGATGGAATGCTAATTGAGAGGCTTTTTGCAGAAAACTTGTGGTGCTTTTGTGTAGACATTTGAAACAAACTACTTTGCTTTACCAGAGATCACATCTTTTGTGTGTCATGCACAAAATCAACTACAGCAAACCTTGCGTCCCCTAGATACTCTGACTTTTGAACAGTTCTCAGCAGGTATTTCCGTCCATTGACATCTGTGGGATTTTGGGTATACTTCTGACTTTTTTTCCCCTCATAGCAAGACAAAATGCTTTTTCTAATATACACTGTATGGCCAATACTGGCAAGTTCTTTAATTTTATTGTAATGCTGATGCATGTTAGTTATGTGAGTACATGAAGGGCAAATTTTTTTATTTGTTGTTGTTTTTTCTGTTTTGCTGAAATGGAATGAATTTCAGCAGATGGATGATGACTCTTCAGCACCTCAAATGATGTCTCAAGTGCGGAGCAATATGTTTTTTTTTTTGCTCATTAGCACTTCTATTTGTGATGTTTGTAATGGTGCAACATATTGTTGCAATCCACCTTTATACCCCTAATGAGTATGCTAGTCCATATCGGCAAAATATCTTTAACATCTGCTGTGTTATCCAAGTTCTTTAGTGGTTAAATTGATCATTTACAACTATTCGATGTTTACAATCTGGTATCTAGAAGCTTTAAATAAACTGGTTTGCATTAAAGCACAGAATCTTACATTGTGTTGCAGGTGTGAAAATGATGACAATAAAAGCTGTGTTAGCTGTTTTTTTCCCACACAATTTCCAACACATTGACATTTTTGCCCAGTTTTGCTACAAATCTGAGATTAGTAGTGCTTATTACATTGACAAGTTGTTTAAAAATGTGATTGTATTTATTTATTTATTTTAGAACACAGTGTCCCCACTAGCTGATAGGTGTCCTCGTTAAACAGCTTTTTAGCTATTAGAAAACTAACATAAATGCTCAGAAAAGGCAGGGAAAGGGTTAAAATCTTATTAAAATCCTTCTTAACTGTCCTTGTTATTGGCAAAATATGGATTCTTGAGTAGTGTGAAAAGCATCATCCATTGCATCTCTAGATATTAACTTTTGCATCAGCCATTGAAAACTTCACATTGGTCGACCATTATGCGGGATGCTGTCATAGGCCATTTAAAAGCTCAAGAGTAACATCCTAATGCACCGTCGCACTCTCCAACCATCTCTGACAGGCAGACGAGGCATACCTGACTTTGTTGACATTAATTATTAAAGTTGAGGTACAAGATGCTTCTGAAAAGCTCAAAGTTCATGACATTTTCAGCACTGTCTGTTTATTTCTCGTTATTTACTTTGAAGGTTAAACTGGCCTCTACCAGTAATTGCGCTGTTTCCTCCCTTATGATCATAGCAAATCAATGGTAGACCTTTTCAGGACACGCTGATGTGTTTTAAAGGACTAATGCTTGATTCATTGCTCTGACAGATGGACTGAAGCTCTGCTTCAATCAAAATACTGCAAATACCGCATTCATAATAAAGGACTTCACCGCACATAAAAGATGAAAGATAAATGACCATTAGATGAGTACACCCACTACATTTTCTCATTTATAGATTTTAACCAAGGGTCTGTATCACTAAAGCCAGTTTTTGAAAGGATGAGACAGTATGGGGGCATATGAGGACACTATTTTCTGTCCATTTTCTGTCCACTTATGTCTTGAACAAAAAAACACTGTAATTTGAGTTGCCTCTAGTTTAAGTTATAATTGTTATGTACTGTATATAAGTTTATGGAAGTATATTAATGACAAATGTCTTTGAAAGAAAGCATGCTGAATTGCACTACACTAAATGAATACACAAATTCTTGCAATTTCTTTGTAATTATTTGTGAAATGTAGCAATTTCTGAGTGAAAATTGTTTCACCACCAAAGTTTTTTAGTGGATAGAACTTTTTTTTGTTGTTCCCCAAAGAACCTTTTAGTGAACAGGTCTTAAAACAACCACTTTTTCATGGTGTGAGGAATATTTTAATAATCTGAAGAACCTTTTTTCCACTATAAAGAACTTTTTTTTCAATGGAAAGATACCATGAATGTGAAAGGATCTTCATGGAAGCATCGATGCTAATAAAGAACCTTTATTTTATAATTGGGGAAAAAATGCATTGCGTTAAAAGTGCTTTCATTTTAATGCATTGTATTTTCAGGGCTTGCATTTTTGGGGGCTGAAATTCAACGTAGGTGTATATTTAAGCATGCCCATTTTATGTGCATTTAATATATTTAAGCACATATTCAATTGGTAAAATTTCACACAATTTTGTTATTAAAATTGATATTAAAATATTCAGCTTTCAAAGTTAATTTCCAAAATATTCAGTTTAAAAACTCCAAATCATTCAATTTCAGTCCATTTTATTTAGTTTTACAGATTCACTTACACAAATTTGGTTGTTCAAATTCACTTGGATATTCAACATTACACATCCAAGAATTGCAGATTTTTTTCAGGCAATTCAGGATGCTTTTTCATATATTTGTCATTAATTTACTTCCACAGAAATTTAACATGACCGTTTTCCACCTACTGTATGACCTTTTTTTTGTCACTGTACCTTTATGATTTTGTATGCAAATGACACCTGGCATAGTTCACACTCTTGTTCATCAAGTTCAGTAGGCATTTAAATCTAAACATTAGATTTACACTTATAATTTGCTCATGGCTTACAATGTATTCAAGTTATGCATTTAATCAGTTCCATCAGACCTGTGACCTTGCTGTTGCTAGCAGCATGATCTACAGGAACACAGTAAACATGAACAGCCCCATTTAAACATTTTCATGGCTCTGGCATCAATGCTGTGAGGATTTCTGAATGACTGGCGAGAGAGCTGAGTGTTCAATGTTTGATTATGTTTACATACTGTAGTGCATCAAAAGAGCAAGAAAATCTGTTCACTTTTTGTTTTTGTTTTACCATAGACAGTTATGCACTGAATTACCTTTTTCTGCTGTCAGAATTGTGCATCAAAATGACCAATGGAAAGATGTTGACAAGTTTCTCCGCCGGCCTTGAGAGGTATATAAAAAAACAACAACAACAAAAAAAAAAAGGACAGAGTTTGTAGTTTTCATTGTATGAACAGAATCTGAATTAACTTCTCATACTGTATTGAGAATGAAAGTGATTTTTTTTTATTTTTTATGATTAATTAAATTTGTTTTCCTGTGTTACATTTTGTTTCATATCAGGATTAACTTGGTTGAGTGTTTTAAACAGTAACAGGAGGGCAATGAACAAAACAAACGCTGTGACACTGAACAAGAACTTCTCAATTATTCTGTTTAATGACCTTGCATGGGTTCTAAATGTATTAAAGCATTTCATTTTCAAAGGCAATGAGCTACAGTACATACAACTTTGCATTTTACCCATATTTTATCTTTTTTTAATATATTAAGAGCACTGGGTCTTAATTAGTTTGAGGTGTTCTGTTCTGTCCTTTTGTCCTGCAAACTGATTCAAAAGGATAGTTACCCCAAAAATGAAAATTATGTCATCATTTACTCACCCTCCAAACATATATGAAATATACTACTGTTCAGAAGTTTGAGGTTGGTAAGACTTTCAATGCATTTAAAGGAAGTCTATTATGCTCACCAATACTTTATGTATTTGATCAAAAATACAGTAAAAATGAATTATTATAATTTAAAATAGCTGTTTTCATATTTTAATATATAATTAAATGTAATTTATTCTTTTGATGGCAAAGCTGAATTTTCAGCATCATTACTCCAGTCTTCAGTGTCACATGATCCTTCAGAAATCATTGTAATATACTGATTTGCTGCTCAAGAAACTTTTTATTTTTATTATCGATATTGAAAGCAGTTGTGCTGATTAATATTTTTTGGGAACTGTGATATTTTTTTATTTTTTTTGTTCATGATTCTTTGATGAATAGAAAGTTCAAAAGTACAGCATTTAAAAAAAAAAATCTTTTGTAACACCATAAATGTTTACTTCCACTTTTGATCAATTTAATGCATCCTTGCTGGGGGGAAAAAATGTTGAAGGGTAGTGCATATATAATAGACTGGAGGGTGCAAAAACTCCATAAAAGTAGTATAACAGTATAGTCCATATGCATTTCTGGAAAATAAGCAATCTGCATGTTCTTCTAAATTTATGTTCCACAGAAGAAAAACAGGCATACATTTTTGGAACAATGTCAGAGTGAGTAAATGATGACAGAATTGACATTTCAAGGTGAAATATCCCTTGAAGATGTATTCATTGTCAGACAGGCTGGTTTCACCAAGGTCCTCCTCAGTCCCATCTGAAGTCATGACCCACCATTTCATAAAATTTCACATTGAATGGCCTATAAAATTCTCTAAGCTGCTCAATGACTTCCTGGTCAATCTGAATGTGAGTTCTGCCCTTGGACTTGCCCAGACAGCGGGGCTGGCTGCTGCTTTCCGGCTTCTTCAGGCACGGGAAGCCTTTCGTTCGGTTGAAGTAGAAGTGCTTGTCCGTGATGATGCGTTTGAGCCCCAGGAAATCCTGCACCCGTCCTAGCTCTCCGGCCGGATCCGTGATGAGCCGCTCCCCACTGACAAAATGGATCTGCGATAGACGGAAGTATTGCAGCCAGTTCTCCAAGTGTAGGATGTACATGCCTATACGGATGGCATTCCAGGAGGTGTCCACGATGCCTTGACTCCTGTTCTTGAAAGCTAGTTCCTCAAAAGAAGGGATGTCGGGCTTCTTCGACAAGGTCTGTGTGTAGTCGGAGATCGCCCTCGTGACAGGGTTCCGCACTACTACGATCAGCTTTGTTTCGCGAGACATGCTTGAGATGCGCCGCGGTGCCTCCCGTGTCACAAAGTAACTTGGTGTTTTCTCCATGGTGATCTGGCTGTCCAGAGTACGTGGCATAAGGCCCCTTTGAAAAGACAAACAGAAATATTCATCAAAATGAATGTCTAACGTAGGTAAGGTTCACAACATCGGCTTTTCCATGTAAGCCACCTACATTAATATTGGCACTCTTGGTAAATATGCGCAAAAACTGGATTTTTAACACACACACACACACACACACACACACACACACACACACACTTATATATATATATGTTATGTATATATATATATGGAAGATGCGTTTGTTGAAGGCAACTTGCATTACATTTAAGCTATTATCATCTTTTTATGCATTCCCTGGGAAGTGATCCCATGACTTTGTTAGTGCAATATATTAATATTTTTAAAATTATTTTATTCTTTTATTAAAATTATTTTGCTTTAATTAAAACAATAATTAAATACTTAAAATACATATTCTTACTCTGAAGGAAATATTTCGAATTATTTTTTTTTTTAGCATTTGGCAGATGCTTTTGTCCGAAGCTTTTTGCATTGCATTCAAGCTATAAATTTAGTTCCCTGGGAATCAAACCCTTAAAACAAACCTTTTTTTCCCCCCATTAATCTTTTGAGTTAGGCTACATTGAGTTAAAGGAACGTAATAATTTGCATCCAAAAAAATGTAATAACAGAAACTCTTTTAAATGTCAAACATAACAGCAAACACTAACAGGTCTTTCCCTTTAATAATAATAATAATAATAATAACAATAATTTCAATCTACTTTATCATTTTTATATTCTCCCAATATTCTCCATACCCAGTCCTATAAAAAGCATGCTAGGAATTAGAAATCCACTTCCCAATTTTTGTTACTTAAGTTACTTAAAAAAATAAGTTACTTAAAAAAAAAAAAAAAAAATCAATAAACAAAGAAATCAGTTTAGCTGATGTAATGATCAACATTATGTCAACAGAACTCATCAAAATAATGTTGTCATATATATATTTTTAAATGTTTACCACATTTAAGTTGTGGTATTGCTATTATTATTGCTCATACTTAGCAAAAGTACTAAGCACAAACCCAAGTATTAAAATTCAGCATGCGACTCGCTATTCATGTCCCTACAGACATGGACGATACATCAAATTGTTGGGGTGTGCTATTGCTTTTCCAAGCAGTCTGACATTTGGCAAATAAAACCAGGACAAAATTCTATATGAAGGAGGAACCACACTTTTGACTTGAGTAAACAACCATCTCGCAATAACATAGCAATCGCTTAGTAACTAAAACCACTCACCCATAGTACCTTAGCAACCTCATAGCAAACCTGGCAGCAAACCATGGTGAGTTTTCCACAGGAAAACACCACTCGCATTTCCTCAGAGAGTGAAACAAATGTATTTGAGGAAACTATGTAAGCAACCCTGGCATTTTCTTTTCACAGCCTTGAGAGGAAAAAGCGAGATAGCTTGTGGAACGTGGTCACCCCTCACATTAGTGTAGACTCCAGCATGACAAATAGGAATTCAGTTACAGAAAGTGACAAAATAATCAGAGCACACACATGAGGTTTTAACACTCGCCGGCAATATTTCTAGTCTCTTATCTCCCAGGTGAGTGTGATGCTGAAGGGTATGGGGAAATTATCAAATCTCAGGCACATCCTTTACTCCTGCTCATAAATCACCATCACCTGCATTACAGATGCACAATAGAGAGAAAGGCTTCGGCAAATCTGGGACATGCGAAATAGGTCATTATTTTCACAAGTTTCTTCACGAAACCATAGAGTCCAACTTTAGAGTTGTTCTGACTTGAACTGATGAACTACATAAGGTGATATCCACTCGGTCACAGTTCTGTTGTTGTAGCAGATAGCTGCTGCCCCGTCAACCTCTTTGAAGGAGCGAGCGTATTAACGGTGCCGTAAGCAATTTTTATGGAACGGCACGCAGAAAACTTCCCTCTTACCTGACAGATATCACTGAAACAGGTGTCTTGAGAAATCACACTCGTTTCTGCGACAGCCCTAGGCAGGAATACTGCTATCTGAATGCAGGATGTTACCGTTTAGCCAGTCAGAAGACTCTGAAGTCAATTTGAGTGTTCGGCTTCGCTGACATTTGGAATTACAGATGGTAATTCACCATATTTTCTAGATGCATGTTATTGTTATCCATGCATACTATCATTTTTAAACTTATTTTTTTTATTTCAAGCTTGTAGTTTTTAATAAAAATATCATAACTGGATCTTCTGGAAAAATGGTAGAATTTTTTCTCTCTGTTGAAGCATGCTCTAACTCCAAGTATGAAGGACTCCAATCTTTTCATCAGCATAAACCCCATCTATTTCTTATACGCGACTGCAAGCCCACATTCATTTTTTTTTACTCATTAATCTGTTTCACTCGGATGAATGTCACAATACGTAAGAAAAGAGCTGCCGCTACTTCCGTTACATCACAACTTAAAATTTCGCTACTGTGTCGCTAAATGCGACAATTGCAAGTGTTTAAACCTGTGAATTTTGCCTGATTATAAATGTTAAACCTGATGAGAAAATGTTACTGTTTAATGAGGTTACGATTTCATATGAATTGATGTGATGTGTTACGGGGCAAACGAGACGAGAGACGTGCGGATCCATCTGCAAAGCTTTTATTTAAAGGCGTGGTCATAAAACAGGCAAGGTTCAGACAATGGCAAACAGGTATATGACGGCAAGACGAAGAGTAATCCAAAACGGGCATGAGTCAGTCGGCAGCAAACGTTATCCAGAGGGCTTGACAAGAGGGGAAATCCAATAACACGAGCAATAGTCCAGGCAGGAGCAAACAGAGTCCGAACGGCGAGACAAAAGGGCAATCCGAGAAACACAGGCAGGAATCAGAACACGAGAAAACAGGCAAGGCAAGACTAAGACTAAACAATGAAAACTAGAAATG